ATATAAGCTCCAAAAGGTTAAAGGTTACCTACTCAGCCCCTAAGCTTAAAAGCAACGAACTCCCCAAACCCATCCAGCCGAGCGACATCACCGCCTCTCCATCCTTATACGCCTCGATCCTGTCTAGCTTGAACCACGCGTCCAGGTCGACCTCGGGGATCTGGGTGCAAAACAGGGCCTCCGTTCCTTGAAAGGGCTTCATGATTAGGCTTACTATATAGGGGCCTCAGCAACTTAAGTACTCAGACATATATTCAAGGACTGATACTCTAAGCAGTAAGGCACCTATATCACATTTACATAAAACTTCCATCAATCTCCACCTGTATGCAGGTCCTGTCAACTAAGACGAAATTTGAGCTCAAGAGCTTTCGGGCGACGTTTCCTTACGCGGGTAACGTTTGCAGGGCCTTGCGGCGACCTTGCAGGGGCGAGGCCCAATGTTGGAATGCTTGGGCCCTTACAGTTCTCATTCTGATCTAAAGCCCCTCAGCCCTGACTCAACAACTTAACACCCTGGATGCTTTTCGAACCCTATACCCTAAACTGTTTAAGCCCTACCGAAAGCCAGCAAAATCCTCCATTTTGAACCGTAATCCCTAAAGCCTACACCATGAAATATAACAACAAAGCCACACTCGTAAAACCTAGGCATCCTTAACCATGAAAGCCTGAACTATCAACCATGCATGCCCAGAAACCCCATTGTAACTGTTAAGGACCTGACAGAAGGCTCGGCATAACTACAGTTGATGATATAAATCCTGCATGACCCAGAATAAGGAACAGATCGTAATCACCATAGTTTAGGGTCCTTGAGGTAATGCAGGATTTGTATCATGAGCAGTAGCAATGATATCATCTTGTAGCCCCTGTACATTTTTTCTGTAATATACCGCCATATTCTAATTGCAAAGGCCCCCCCATGCCCTTTGACCCTTGGAACACCCTTATGCCTTGCTAATTGCGGAACCCTTAAACAGAGAGCCCTCTTCTACTGCTTGGTATAACCATTAGAATAATGTGGGGTCTTGGGGTATATGATACTACAACTCTAACATGGGTGGTTGTCAAAATTATGGTCCCTTTTGGGGTACCCTAAATAATAGGTGCCGTATTTTAATAAGGACCCAAAAAGGGACCATAATTTTGAAACTACCCATATGGAACATTCGGGCCCTACAGCAGCTTGGAGTTTCACAAGGCCATGGCCTTGTCTTGGTCTCAGATTGAAGGAAGACAACACCCCGGCAGTTCGGAGCATTCAACATGGGGCTCCTTATGCTCATATCAAGCTTTACCAGGGGTTATTAACGCTCTATAGAAGAGCTTTGTGCGACTTTTAGAAAGCTCTGCTGAGTTTGACCAGCTTCAATAGAGGCTTAGGTGGAGTCCTGAGCCATCGGGGTTCCAAGGTTCTGTTAGTCACCATTATTTCTGAAATCTTCAAACTGCACCTTCGCCGTGCCACGGTGCATTACAACAGTAGCTCACATGCAACACCCCCCCCCCCCGCAGCATATGAGTAGTTGTCTAAATTAGGGTCCCTTTTTGGGTCCCCAATATAGTACGGCACCCTTATAAAAAGGACCTAAAAGGGACCCTAATTTAGAAACCTACCCATATCCTGAAAAGCAATATTGCAAACCCTCAACACTCAAGCCTGAACCCCCAAACCTTTTTCTTGGAGCCCCGAAGCAAAACCCGAAACCCGTCTTTGCATCCACAAAAACCGCCAAGGACGGCCAAGGGCCCTGGCCGTTATAGGTGGATCATCTTCGTCAAGGTCGAAGTCCTGTTCGGGTTGAGGGCTTACACGTTTAAGGTGTTAGGTTATAAAGTTTTAAGGTTTAGGGGATGGGTCTTGGGGTGTTTGGCAATGGGGTTTAAAGTTTAGGGAAGTCCTTCTTTGCTGATTCAAGAGCTTCGTTTTGTATTCTGGGTTCTGCTTTACATGCAACGGCAGTTCGACTGGAGATCTGTTCATCTCCAGAAGCCAAGGCCTACAACTTCAAGCTTGGCGATGAAGCCCTCTTCTGTCAACCATCTACCGTTCTTTCTGAGAGCCCTTCCGTGACTGGAATTGCTCGGTAGCCAAGGGGATGAGGTCGACAGTGTCGTCTAGCAACCAAACAGGCTTTGGACTGAAGTTACCGGGTGTCGCAGAGATTCGCTGCGGTTCTTTTCAGGGGTCTCGCCGGGAGCCAAAGTCCACAGACTGTCACGGTTTGGATTCGCGAGCACACCGTCCACATGTGTGGTGCAATGGACAGGGAGCACCGCTGCTTTCGCACATGTAGCCACAAAGGTTAAAGCTACGGATCTCATGTTCGAAGAAGATCTCCAACCGCTCGGCGGTCTTCAAGCTTCTTGAAATGGCTTCGAGAATGTTTTCGAGGGATTCCGGTGTGCGCGGCTCTTGGACGATTGCGCGGGGCTTTTGAAGAGGGAGGGACAACGACTTGACGGTGTTGCACAAGGATTTAGAAGGTCCGGCGTAGAGTGCGAGGAACTACGGCAGTCCGCAGAGCTCGAGGAGCTAAAAGACTCCGCGGGCGAGGAGGAACTATCTCTCCTGCGAACTTTCTTGAGGAACTCACCTTGAGGGCGAGGCTCGAAGGCTTCTGCTTATCTATCTGCTGTTGAGTTATGAAGTTCCATGCCTGGGACTGGCGGAATGCGGCACAGACACCCACGATGAAGAGAAGCCGGAACAACATGGCTTCGGAAGCGAGAAATCTTGACAAGCAGCAAGCAGACTGCATTTGAGCCACCAGGAGGAGCCAAAGATTGCGGCTGAGGAGCTGGGTCATGATTTCTTAGAGCTTTCGATTACATCGTCCTCTTACAAGTCTCACAAGTTTAGTGTTAATGTCAGGAAGCAGATGACAAGAAACGTAAGGGTCACGAAGATGGACCTCTGTGGACAGCCATGCAGACGTTCATTAGGCCGGTCTAGTTGAGTTTGTTTGGGCCTGGATCGTCTTTGGCCAAGCAAACGCTTGCACGCAGGCCTGAAAGCAATCAGCTGCAACCTTTGCTTTGCACAGGCTCTGGTGGGGTGGGCTTTTTCAGTTTGCGTATCCCTTGAGCAGACATTCTTGCGCCCACAACTGCATGCAGTCTTGCTTCCAGCCAGATTCGCATTGATCACTTCAAGAACCACCCCACGCTGCCATTTCCATATCTGTCTGCAGTGGTGGCATGTTTGTTCTTCCTTACCGTCCTTACGATAATTGCACTACAATATACGCCAAAACCCTATTCAGAAAGGCTCCTATACTAAATATTCAGTTCCCAAGTTCCCCTGTGCCCCTGCACTTTCTGCAGAAGTCCTCATAGAAAAACTCGCTCTCCCTTGGATCTTGGCCGTCTTCGTCGCCCGAGTCGCCGTCCTCCTTTCAGGATAAGAAGCTCAAATAGCATCCTAAACCCTAAACCCTAAACCCTAAAACCCCAAACCCTAAAACCCTAAACCCCTAAACCCTAAACCCTAAACCCCCAAACCCTAAAACCCCAAACCCAAAAACCCTAAAACCCAAAAACCCCAAACCCTAAACCCTAAAACCCTAAACCCTGATATGGACCTCAGATGCCAAGATCCGGAACCTGAGGATCCCTTACTAGTAAGATCGGATTCCTCTAGGGGCTCTCATAATTGGAACAGGACCTTGGGGAACAGGATAGGGTTTAGGGTTTAGGGTTTAGGGTTTAGGGTTTAGGGTTTAGGGTTTAGGGATGTTAATAAGGGCTTAGGGGTTAGGGCTGGGGTTGCAAGGGGAGATAAATCCCAATTTCTACTTCTACTTCAGCCCACTATAAAGCCTGGATAAAGCCCTATACCTCCCTCACATAAAGATTCACAGCACCTGTATAAGCCCCTTCCAAAACATCCAAACACACCCCTAAACTCTAAACCCTAAACCCTGCAGCTTCAAACAAAATCCTCCCGAGCTGAGCCCTATCCCTCATACTGACCAAGTCGTAGGTTTTTTTACGAGGGACACGCCGCACTTCAGTAACCCTCATACAACATAACCCTTACACACCATGCAAACTTCAAAATACGGCCCTACGCCCTAGAACCCTAAACCCCAACGCCCAAATCCTAAGACCCTAAATGCCTAAAGCCCTAAATCCTAAAGCCCAAACCCTCAACTTCCTAATACCAAATTGTCTGAACACTTTTGGCACCCTTGTAGTATCCTTTCAAGGAACCCTTGATAAAATCCTTTAAGGAAACCCTGATATTACCCTTTGCAAGGAAACCCTGAAACTACCCGTTTAAAGGAAACCCTTTCTCTGCTGTACTACCCCTTAAAGAATCCTTTCTGCACCCTCCCTACCCTAAACCCTAAACCCTAAACCCTAAACCCGTAAACCCTAAACCCCTAACACCAAACCCCTAAACCCCTAAACCCCCAACCCCTAAACACCAAACCCGTAAACTCTAAACCCCTAAACCCTCCCTCCTTCAGTTCGAACTGGGACTTGGACTCGGCAAGGCGGCGCAAAGTCATCTCGGCGCTTGGGACTCTGCCGTTTTTGCAGTCGGTTTTTGGGTGGTTTTTGAGGGTTTAGGATTTAGGGTCGAAACAAGGGGTTGGGGGATTGGGGTTTAGGGTTGAGTTTTTTGAGGGTTTGAAGGCTTTGGAGCTTAGGGTTTTAGGTTTTGAAGGTTTTCAGGTGCTCTGCTAGTCGAGGTTTAAGTCGCTTAGACCTTGGGATGTGTTTTAAAATGGTAGCGATGGTTCGATTGGGGTTTTTGTACTTGTTGGTTTGGGTTTCGAATTTCTACAGACCTTCTTCACAGCTAGTTCTATGAAGGTTGTTCAAGGGTTCAAAAAAGCCTTCAGGGTTGGGGTCTTCGGAGTTTTAGGGCATCTATGGTTTCAGGTTCTCGGTTTTAGGGTTCAGGGTTCAGGGTTTAGGGTACGTAGGGTTTAGGGTTTAGGGGTTGCAAATACGACGCTTCGGGCTTTTAGTGGTAGAATTCTATCGACAGAACTGTCTGATTGGGCTTTCCCTTCGCGGTGTTCACGGTTTGCAGAATTTAGAGCTAGAGGCTTTAGATTTTAGGCTACTATAATAAGGTTTTGAGGGTCACTGGAGTTTCGGAAGGGCACTTGAAGGCGTAATGTAGGGGGCCCTTATACCCTAAGCCTTAAGCCCTATAAACCCTATAAACCTCATAAGCTCCTCTTAACTCAAGTCCGTAGTTCTCGAAAGTAGGGTCCCGTCTAGGTCACCAGGCTGGTAGGCCCCCGCTCACAAAAATCACTAATAGGAAACCCTAGTTTAGAGAACTGCCCAAATCACACACCCTAAACCCTGAACCCTTATATAGGGGCCTTAACAGCGTTTGGGCCGGGGGGTATATTATACTATCAGGAATACTATTCGTACTTATTTAGGCCTCGACAGCAATCAACCCTGGGCTTTGAAGTAACCAGGGAGGAAAAAGTAAAGACTTTTATTTCACAATGGTTCCTGTAAGGAACAGATCACCAACAAAAGTATTAAAGTATGGCATTCCAAGGCCCAGAACACTGTCAAGCAAGCCACCTTCCGATCTTCAGATCGTCTCGACTCAATCGACTCGGAGGTCTTCGTCTTCATGACCTCCGGTGAGGGTTTGGGGTTTAGGGTTTAAGGGTTTGGGGTTTAGGGTTTAGGGTTTAAGGGTTTAGGGTTTAGGGTTTAGGGTTCCGGGCCCCGAAAAACTTGTCTCTCTTGCTCTACTTCATGGTGATGCTGGCGATTCTGCTCAGGAGATAGCATCGACATATACGAAAGGGCAGCAATCCGGGATTACGCTCTCTTCTATGCTTGTAAGAAGGCCTGGCCTTTTTTGTTTGTGTAAGAAGGCCTGGCCTTTTTTTCCCTATGTCCCAAACAAAAACCTCCTGCGTGGGTGAAGCTCTAAGCATCAAGCCCGATCCTGACGATTCGTTTCTGTGCAATACAGCGAGCGTAACTAATTACCACTACTGTTTCGGGGTTCCTTGTTATGAGTAGAGTACGGCCGATGATATAAACCCTGCATTACGCCCATAGTAAGGAAGATACCATCATTCTCATAGTTTAGGGTCCTTAAGATACTGCAGGATTCCTATCATCAGCAGTATTATATACCCCGAAGCCCTCTTCTGATTGTTTAAGGCTCCTACATTACGGTTGAGAGCCTTCCTTGCAACTGGTGCATGCTCCGGGTTCTCCAGGGAAGGCGTCGAGATATAGCAGCTGGAAGACGCTAAAACCCTAATACCTAAGACCCTAAAGCCCTAAACCCTAAACCCCTAAAGCCCTAAACCCTAAAACCCTAAACCCAAAAACCCTAAACCCTGAAACTAAACCCTAAACCCTAAACCCCTAAAGCCCTAAGACCCTAAGACTCTAAGACCTACATGGTGCCTGACGCTTCTCTGACCAGCTGAGATTTGTCTTCACGGCTTTCCGAGAGTAGTGCTGGTCCTTGGATTCAGCTTGGCTGGTAGCTTGGGGCCGAACGGAGTAAATCCTAAATCGTTACAAACCCTCAACGGCTAATGCAGGGACCTTAACTTAATAATTAGAATATACTTATAACCAGGAACACCAAAATAGTATTGGTATTATTTAGACGCCTTTTCTTAGACTCTAAACCTTCAATCCTGCGCCCGAATCCTGGTCCTAAAACCGAAAATCCTAAAGCAACAAACTCGCCTTGATGGAAAGATGACGCGGGTTTTGCACGGTCGGAATGAAGGCATCCGTCGAAGCGAAACTTCACTTCTAGGGTTTACATAGGGTTTACAATTTGGGGATTAGGAGTTTGGGTTTAAGGTCTCGGATGAATCTGCAGAACTTTCCCTCTTGCATCTGTATGACAATGTATACTAGCCGCAGCAAGCTTCGGGCTATGGAGGACTTACGGCTTAAGCTTCAGGTTAACTCTTTGCAGAGAGAAGTAAAGCGGGAGCCCTAAACCCTGAACCCTAAACCCCAAAACCCTAAAGGCAAGCTGCGGCGACATCTTCCAGCATCTCCTCCGTGACGTCCCACTTCACTACGACTTTCGGCTTGTCCTCCGGAGTGCTCTTTCGGTTCTGGGGTTTAGGGCTTAGGGTGTTGGAGTTGATCCCTGAAAGGCCTCCCTACTCTCTCTCTCTCTCTGTCTGTCTCTGTCTCTCTCTCTCTCTCTATTCTCTCTCTCTCTCTATAGACATATATATATATATATGAAGGACTTCTGCACCGTACTGAAATCCGAAAAGACATGGAACCCAGGAGGACATAGCAAGTTCCACACTGCTCTTGCAAAAAGACCTCAGCAGCCCTCGTGGCTTGAATCCGAAAGCTCCTGCCTTCAGCCTCATCGCGCATACCCATAATATAGGGGCCTTTATAATTAGAATAGGGTATTGGGGTATTTTTTGTACTCCTTCAGCCGCTTTAGCCGCGCACCCCTGGCAACACTACTACGCAATCAAACCTCGCAGCATACGCCAACAAATCTGTAGATACGGCCGGTCAAGAACGGCAAGCCAGGGTTAACGACGCGTCACTACAAAGCTAAAGAAGGCAAGGAGCCTGAGATTCTAGCCAAGTGTCATCATGAGCATCATGGTAGACTCAGAATACTCGACCAGAACTCTAAATGCAAAGCCCTTAACACTGCCCGATGTAGATATTTCAGATATCTGACTCTGACTGCCTGCACTTGTGCAGTGCGTTCAACGAGCACCCCTAAAAAGATCTGACACCAACCCTACTGAGCCCTTTTTGAGACTGAAGACTGAAGAATCAACTCCAATACTACATGCCGAAAGACCTGCGGCTCAGAAGTTTAGGGTTTAGGGTTTAGGGTTTAGGGTTTAGGGTTTAGGGTTTAGGGCCCTCCTGAACCCTTTCGTAATAGGGTTTAGGGTTTTAGGGTTTAGGGTTTAGGGCTTGGGGTTTCTATACTAAACCCAAAAAGTTGGAAACCGGATTAAGGACAAATAGTGCTGGGATCTCTTATACTCTTAAGGATGGAGGCTATTGGGTTTCCAACTTTTGGGCTTCTACTATAAGCCGTAAACCTTGCCTGGGGATCCAAAAACCTACCGTTTTCAAGGCTCTACCCTCTAATTGAGGGGTGTCATAACCTACTATTTTGCTATTTTGTAGGGTTTGGGGTCACGGGTAAACTCTGCAGGGGCCTTTTTAGACAGGCCCAATTTCTGCGACGTGCTCGATATGCCGGAGGCCGACTTCGGCAGAGATGGCGCCTGAGATGAGGGATTCCGGGATGAAAGTAAGGGTCTAGGGTTTAGGCAGAACCCTACTCCAATTATTCTGGCCTCTATAGTAGGGACCTGAGAATCTTTGAGCAGGGTTCTGGGGCATAGTACAATACAATTCGAATTCAGGCTCCTGTGTTACGGGATAGAAGCCCGGCTGCCCTATGTCACCCTCAAGAACCGATGCCACTTGCAACCCCTAAACCCGAAACCACAAAACCCTAAAACCCTAAACTCTGAACCCAAACAGCCTAAACCCTAAACCCCGAAAGCCCGAAACCCTAAAACCCAAAACGAAACCCCCAAAAGCGCCAAAGCCCCTGAGCCTTAAATGCCGCGCAACCGATTGCACTCCATCCTCCTTGTCTCTTTCCCGGAGGCTGCACTCGAATCTCGGCTCAAGGGGCTCCCTGTGCTTGAGGCTTTTTGGGGCGCTTATAGAGGGGTTGTAGGGGCTTTAGTGGTTTCTGGGGGTTTGGGGGTTTTGAGGTTTGGGGGTTTAGGGGGTTTAGGGGGTTTTGGGTTTTTGGGACTTTGGGGTTTAGCGGTTTTGGTGGTTTTGGGGGTTTTGGGGCGTACAGGGGTTTTGGGGTTTAAGGGGTTTGAGGGTTTTAGGGGTTTGGGGGTTAAGGGGTTAGGGGTTGGGGCCAGGAAGGGTCAGCACAACAGGAACCAAAACATCGGTAGTGGTGACAGTAGCTGTGTGGTCTGCGACAATGAATGGTCCGATAGAGCGAGAGCTCAAGTCAAGCTGGAGCGGTACAGTATGATTCCAAACTGCAGAAAGCATGGGACCTCCACATCGACACAAAAACCCTGCCTCCCCTAGCGCCCGGATGCCTCCAACGATGGGTCAGTATTTGTCTGGCGACACCACATATTATCGGCTCACGGTAGGATTCCGAAGCTGCCCATCGGTGAATGCAAAACCCAATGCCCCTGGGCACAAAACCCGAAAGTTTAAACCTGCAGGCCCTATAGCTGAACTCCCTAAACCCTAAATCCTAAACCCTAGACCCCACCCCGAAACTTCCTGTGGTCGCGGGGCCCAACATGCCGTACCTGGCCATCACGGCTCACAAGCCTGACCTTGGATTGGAAGGTTATTGTTTAGCGTTCCCTATAGGTCCTTAATAATCAGAAGAGGGTTTGGGGGTATTTTATACGATAGTTAGAATCGGGAACCCACCAAAATAGTATAGGGAATTATTTAGACCCCTATATTAGGGGTTGTATGCTTCCAGGGTCATGGAAGCAGGCATGGTCGGGGTTTTCACCATCATGCCGGAGGGTGTAGGAGGATCCAACTTTGGCGGTTTAGGGTTTAGGGCCTGTGACATCCAGGAAAACCGTAGAAAACCCAGTGAAACTACTGATATAACTTATCGGAGCTGTCTTCCGCCACTCATAAACTACTTACAAAACAGTTTTAGGACGCCCACCCTGAACCCCTGAACCCTAAACCCCCAAACCCTAAACCCCTACAACCTAAAACCCCAAACCCCAAAACACCCCTAAACCCGAAGCCCTATAAACCCTAAACTCCTGAACCCTAAACCCTAAGCACGCCCTAAACCCTAAATCCTAAATCCCCCAAAACCCTAAACCCTAAAAGCCCAAAACCCTAAGCCCCGAAACCCCTAAAGTCTTGAACCCTCAACCCTAAACCCCAAGCCCTAAACCCTAAACCCCTAAAGCCCTAAAGTCCTGAACCCTCAAGCTGCCGCGCCACATGCCCCGATGTCGGGGCACGAACACGCCGGAGCCAGGGGCTGCACATCTGAGGCCAGAAGGAGGTTAGGATGTGGGGGTTTTGGGCGTATAGGGGTTTGGGGGTTTTGGGAGTTTTGGGGGTTTAGGGGTTGAGGAATTTCGGGTTTAGGAATTTCGGGTTTAGGGGTTTAGGGTTTAGGGGTTTAGTAGTTTAGGATTTAAGGGTTTTAGACAGGAAGCTCGAGTCTGTCGCAGAGTCACAAAGCTCAGGGGCTCCTGCCTACCCTACCCTAAGTTAGGGCATAGCATGCCTATTTAGACTATTACCACCGCACATAGGCCCCCCCCCCCAGACACCAAAATTCAATTTTCTACTCATTTTTCCCAACTACTTTCTCCAACAGCATACCACTTCATCCCCCGCACCCCCGAATCACTAAATATTTTCAGACCTCTTTTTCGCATTTCCAACCAGCCAACCACTCGCCCCCAAGCGTCCAAATCTTCAGCGTCTCATTTTTCAATGCACTCACCAACAGCCCTCACCCCCCAAAATCGCACCATTTTCCCCGCAAAAACTCGACAGATTTTACCACCTTCTTCACCAGCCCTTTAAGAACTGCACCCCAAAAGCCCTGTTCCACAACCTTTTCCACCAAAACCAGCCCGCTTGCCCCCCAGCGGCAACCATTCATTGACAAGCAAAGAAAGGTGGGTGTGTATGTCTGCATGTCTGCATACCTATGTCTATAGACATCTGTGTATATTTATATACATATATACATGTATATGTATATATATATATATATATATATACACATACCCATACAGATGCGGCTTCGTACATCGAAATCTAGGCAGTAGTAAATGTTCAGGAGTCCATGGGGCTCTTGTCAGCTCGATCGTGTGAGCGGGCGGGGGCGTTTAGGGGGTTTGAAGGTTCAGTGCGTTCAGTCGGCTTAGGGCTTAGGGGCTGAGTACCCTAGCCCAAAAAAGGTTAACTTTTCAAATTTAATGGGATTATATCAGCTCCAAAAGGTTAAAGGTTACCTACTCAGCCCCTAAGTCGGACACTGCGATTGAAAGTCAGAAGCTTCCTCTCTGCGGATTTCAAAGGAACCATGTCTGTTGAATGAAGCCACGCTGGACAAACCATCCCCCCGCCCTAAACCGGGTTTAGGGTTTAGGGTTGAGGGGTTAGGGTTTAGGGTTTAGGGTCAAGGGTTTAGGGTTTAACCCTAAACCGCTTTGCGTTTGGGGCCTAGGATTTATTTAGCCCCCCCCCCTCCCCACCACGCAGAGGATGAACACCATGCCCAGTGTGACACCGATGGCCGCCATGTACCCTGACACATTCCTGAGGAGGGAGTTGAGGGTTTAGGGGTTTTGAGTTTAGGGCGTTGCAGAGGGCTTGCAGGCAAGGCCGTTGCCTACACTTCCAAAACCCGAACGCAGTCTTGCCACACTGCAAGTCCTGAAGCTCGAAGCATGGATTGCAATCACGCTGCAGCCTTAAGCGCTAACAGTCGACAGCCACAAGGGCTCCCCCCGGAAGATAGTCTTCTTCAAACTTTCGTTCGGGCCCTGCCCAGGGCCCAACCCAGTACCACAAAGCCCCAATGCGTCAAACCGAAACCCGAGTTTAATATAGTGGCCTTAATAATTAGCATGTGGTTTTGCGGCCCATCCTACTATAAGTATAATAAGGACCCCTCCAAACAAAAACTAGTATTGGTACTTATTTAGGCCCCTACAGTAGTCACCTCATCTTCCGAGAGCCACAGGGTGTGAGGAATCAGCGGGCCTATGTCTCGAGCTCACTTTTCTTCGCACTTGATGCAGAAATCCTCATCAATTCTTGCAAACCCCTTGCAAAGTCCTCAGAAAAGCCCAGAAGGCCCTCGAATCGAAAGCCCTGACCCAAATTCCAAGATCACATTGCCGAGCTGCAGTGAGTTGTCGTCGCTCTCGTGGAGTAGATCCAGTGGAAGACTCTGAATCAAGGCAAACATTGACCTTAAAAACAGGTCACGAGCCGAGTCATGAAGATCCTTGCGTGGCTATGCATGGAATTAAGCTGGGCACTTGTCTAAGTTCGGGTGCCAAGTGGGACTCTTTGAGCCTGAAATGCAGATTGGAGACACAAGAGGACTGTATGCACTCACCTCTGCAAATCATAGGGAGGCCTGAAGTGGGCTTGAGGAAGAAAAACGCTTCTTGATACCTGTCCTGCTACCCGCTCCGGTCTGGGAGCATGTCGTCTAGGCCTGACTACTTATGTGAGGATCCTGGTTATACTATAATTAGTGGAGTTATATATGGCTGTAAGGGATGTCATTACTACCCATTCAGACCTCTATACAGCCCTTATGCAGACGTTCTAAATCCTTTCGCGCCCTTTCCCCCCCCCCCCCCCCCCGCCGTTTAACCCCTACACGCCCTACAGCCCCAACATAGTTCCGACCGCTCCGTTTAGGGTTTCAGGTTAAGCCCGAAACCCGGGTTGCCCTAAACCATGAACCCGAGGCCGCAAAGATAAAGACACATGGCTGTTAGGGTTGAGGGTTCAGGTTTAGGG